GGGGTGAATGATGGATCGTCTATACCGACGCATTTATCAATTAACATGGTTTCATGACCACGACACGGAATCGAAAAAGACGCAAGGTTTTGAAGTGTTTACGGGGAACCTATTTAACCGTTTTCCCGGTGCTTCCCATGCAATCTGATTGTTTAAGCAAGTGCTGCTCTCCGTGGTGGTTCATCATGTTTACTCTTCGCCAACCAGCCAATTTGTTCCAAAACGTAACCATTTTCAAAGCGATCCGGTCTCGCCGAACGGCGAACAGAACCGAGTCGTTTTGGAAATCCTCCACGTTTGATAACGTTTTCAAAACGAGTCCGTTTCAGTAGTGGTCACGATAGGCGCTGTGTAAACGAAAGGCGTAACGTCATCGAAAGCTATACGGTTACAAATGAACCCTGTCTGTAAAAACAGTGCCCAAGGTATGCCCTCTCTACTTAGCCACTTCCGCTTGGTCCAATTACCTTTTTACCTTTTCATTGACTGGGAAAAAAGGATTGCTTGTATTCTAACCAGTAACATCAAGTTTTTATGATACCTTACTCAGAGGGTAGATCACGTAATTTATAAACTCGGTTTCAAGACACACGGATATTAAAGATTTCAAGAACATTATAAGGCATTACTCATCAAAATATCTAAGCTAAAAAAGTGATAGAAAACGACTGAAGACTCAGTGGAACAACGCAGACCTTAAGCTTAGTACACAAAAGAGGAAGACGAGAGGTTTAACATGAGACTAAAAAAAACGAAATCAGAGAAAGAAAAATTTTTTTTTCCTTCAGGGCATGTCACTTATCAGATCTATCCTCTTATGTGCCTTAATGCCATCAATCCATCGTATTTTGTTAAAAAAAAACAACACTTTGTCACCGAATACTGAAAATGCATATTTGCTACAAGGATGCGTATTTGCTACGAATACGTTTTCCTAAATAAATCGTGAAAAAAGTCCTGAATTGAATTATACGAAAATGGAGGCAGTTCTTCTTTAAAAGCGCAAAACGTATGGAAAAATATTTTGTTAAAAGGAAAGAAAGGAGTTTCATAAGGAAAAAGGATTCCTTCATCTTCAAAAAAATATTCAACTTTAAGGCTGAGTTTACCTCAGCCTAAGACAGGATTTTGTTCAAAAATTGACTTGGGAAAGAATAGAAAAAAAATTATTTTAGAGGGCTCGGGTGGAAACTATTTTTTCGTACATGACCTTCGTAATCTGCAGAATTCGAAAATTTATTGTTTTTTGAGGTCTTTGTACCTACGACTGAGTATTTGCTATACGTTTATCTGATAAAACGCGCGCTATTACCTTTACAATGCTCGACATTCTCTTCAGTTGAATGTTGCCGTTAAAAAGAAAGTGTAAATTTGTGTAAATTTGTCAGAAAGTGACGGAGTAAGTGAGAAATTAAATAAGTCATCGAGTAAGTTGGTGAAGGAGAATGTTAGTGAAAGAGTATGAGTAAACGAGCAAATGACTGAGTGGGTAAGAGAGTGAGAGAGTGAGCGAGGGCTGAGAATGCTTCGCTGTTCATAAAAAATGAAAGATGTTATATTCTGCCCTTTGCGCTATTGTTAAACATCGTGTTATTCTTTTTTTACCTAATACAAACACCTTATTTTGGACAAAAATAGCCTATTATCATCAATTTAGGGTATAACCGTTTGCCTTAAACGAGCGTCGTTTAAGGCAACGGTTATACCCTGTCGGTTATATCCTATTCAGACCTAGGGTCTGAATGGGGTTAGCCGACAAGCTACAAAGGGCGAAAAGTACAACTGACTCCTGACAAAAAGCAAAAAGAAAAATCCGGAATCCGATTAGCGACAAGGAAATATTAACAGATAACCAAAATTGTTCAACAATATCGATATTTGTACACAGATTTTCTGTTCGTTTTCAGAACAGAGTGCGGTACTCGAGCTCACGAATTAATTAAAGGATATGAATAAGTAACTTGCATTAACTAAGATTTACCGACTACCGACAGAGATAGCAAATTTAACCAACCACCGACAAAGAAAAAAATTCTAACCGACAACCGACATGAGGACCCCTCCCCCCCTCTCTCCCCATTCAGAAATTCGGAAACATTTCATCTCATCCAAACTTTCGTAAATTGTTATTTTAAAATGGCAGATTTTAATGACCAATACATCATAATCGTGTACAGGAACATACATATACATCCGCCATGTAATAAGCCCTCTATTAATCATTTTGTTAGTTTTGTATACAATGTTCGCAATATAAGAATTAGTATTGAAAGCTGTGAATATTTTACAAGTAACACTGTTAATGAAGTTGTTAATGTCGAAAAGGCTTCATCTAGCTCCTTTAAACTTAAAAACTATTATAATGTTTATAAGAAATATTTTATCGCAGTTTTTTTTTTGAGTTAAATGTTAGTATGGTGTTTAAGTAGACAATTTGTGGTTTTCAGTTAAAAAAAGAAAGTTATCTTAAAGTTATTTAGAGTTAAATGTTAGTACCGTACGTCTAAACAATGGTGTTTAAGTAGACAATTTGTGGTTTTCAGTTAAAAAAAGAAAGTTATCTTAAAGTTATTTAGAGTTAAATGTTAGTACCGTACGTCTAAATAATGGTGTTTAAGTAGACAATTTGTGGTTTTCAGTTAAAAAAAAGAAAGTTATTTTAAAGTTATTTCTCCTACGGAACTGTATCTGACTGGAAGGTTTCTTTTTATTCTATTTTGCTTTTCGGCTGTTTCGTGACGGGAAATTCACACAAAAGAAACCCACTGAAAGACGAAATTTTGGGCAAGTTTACAAGTATACAAATCAATCGATAACATACAGTCATGACGCAGCTAAAATTTTGTCTTTGTTTAGAACAAACCTCGTTTTAGCCTTTTGCAAGTTGCATATTTAGGGACGTGGGGAGTTCCCAAGTCTTAAATGCTCACTGTAACGATCTCATTGCCGGCTTATTTCAGTCAAACCATTACAAATCTTTTTGATAAGAATAGCTTCTCTTTGTTTGGACGATGCTTATATATGATCAATGAAATTAGATGTCTACAGTGGATAGAAAAACTATATAAGGGAACAGCTTCTAGGAGAGGTACATCATCTCATACTGCAGTGAAATCAGAAGGATCTTTACTGTCCTTGGGTTAATCAAGTTCAGAATAGGACCAAAATGCTTACTAAGGTACGATGTGTTGAAAATAGACTCTAGAATTTCAAGACTCTCGTATGAAGCAGGTGATAAGTCAAGTTCAAAGCACAGATGCTACCTGCTTCAGTTATTCTTACTGCAGTGAGTTTAATTACACATTATTTCTCTGAACAGGTGAATGATTTCTTTCAAAATATCTTAAGCGCTTTCATGCCGGCATTTTGTGAGTGAGGCCAGTGAAAAGAAGTGTGATAAGTCCTTCCACAAAAACATCTTTAACTTGACGAAACAGATTTGATAAAATAATTCAGTAACAATTAGAATGTTCCCCCTCCCCCCCGCAGACTCGAAATAAAAACCAACACCTGTTCAAGGAGATACACTTAACGGAGCATTCCATTTCTTTCACAAGGTTGCTATCTTTGTCACTGCTGTTTGCTGTCTCCTTCATGAAAAAAGTTGCTCGCCGCAAGGTCTGAAGGAGAAACTACTCAACTCCACCCATTCTCCTTGGAATGCCACACAGATTGATGCTGCAAGAGGTTCTATTTTGCAAAGAATCAAGCGTCAACCATCTAATGACGACTGTTGTGTGAAGAAGAAGCTTATCTACAATAACCGTGTCACATATCAGTGTCAAAGCGAGCATCCTGATTGTTTTAGTAAATCTGATCCTGGTAGCAAGTTGTTTGGGCAGTGTGAAACTGTGAGAGACGGTAGAAAAAATGTGATTGCTTGTCGATGCGCCGGTAAAAAGTAACTGGAAAAGTTTCTTGATTTGTGTGTAAACGTGCTATGATTTATTTTTTTACATAAACAGATCAATATTATTTCTGGCAGCCGAAATTACAATCAAGTATTTAAAATGATTCAAACATAAAGGTATTATTAAATGAGTGGCGTTAAGACATTACTGTTGCAGAATGTTTAAGGATTGTGAAATAAAGAGTTGAAATAAACTTCAAAGTCTACTGTAAGTGCAAAATAGCTAAATGCGTCTTGGTACCATAATGAATACCTTATTAAACAGTCCTTAATTTTGAAAAGTTGCCAATAAAATCACAACCATATCACAAACCGGGATGATTCCAAATTGAGTTAAACTGAACGAAGAACAGTTTGCCGTTAATTCCCCATTTGTACTTAAATTTTGCGATTTTTCTCTTTTTTCGCCATTGCTCAGATAAGAATAATACAATTATTAACCATCTTGGTCATTTTCTTTCTAAGAGGACTTGGAGCAACTGTTTAAAAACTAAACCCAATTAAAATATTTTCCAATCTTTCCTTCATTTCAAGTCCTCTTCATCAGGAAGTGAGTACTAAATGCAACAGAAACATGATTTCCAAAACATACAAATAGATAGGGATATAAAATTGTAAAAAAGTAGCCTTTGCAGCTTTCATTTGCAATTGAATGAGCAATCCCAGTCTTTTTATACCCCAAAGTAGACGGTTTTCATGAGGAATGCTAATTGCTCATCACAGATCACGTGAAATCTTCAAAAGGCTGAATGCTTTCTTTGTAAAGGTTTGAAGAGTGAATTTAAGTATGTGTGTAATCAATTTTCACATTAATAAGTCGGGCTATCAAGTAACGTCATATGATCTCTACTGGGATACCCAAATCTCTTAAAGATACAGTCATTCGTCGGACTGAAAGCCAATCACAATATTTTCCGGAATGAAAACAAGGAAAGGAAATGTTTGCGGCATTTAATTTGCTGAAACAACTGGAATATGCGCTCATGCACTCAATCGTCAACAGGTCCAGTGCAACTTCCGATAAAAATTATGGTGTACTTAAAAGGTCAGTCGGTTAGAAACATTGTTGATACTCAACCGGAAGACGTCAACCAAGATCAAAATTTATTTATTTAGCCTAATAAAAAGTTTTTTCTCAAATGAAGTTGAAATTCTCTGACAAATTTCGAGGTCAACCCCTCTGATTTCTGTGATGCACTTACAGGCTATATTATACGTTGCTTACATTAGCCGGTAGTTTCTTACGGGAATCAACTTGGAACGGGTCACTCTTTTTTGAAACCCAAGAGCAGTTTCACTATCATTTACATATGTCTATAAATATTTTTCGCTAATTTAGATAACGAAAGACACGTGTAAACAAATAGTTTTAATGTGATTAAATCAAGCAAAAGGAATAAGAGAAGAAAGCTTAATCACTCATTGTCATCAATGGTGCAGAATCGTAAATCAAATTATTCCGATGCAGAGAAGGCAATAATACAGAGGCTAAATAGCCTCTTTTCTTTTTCTTTTTTTTTTTAAGGCGATTATTAAGAACTTCCCATGATAAAGATTTTAATGAAACAAAGGTCAGTTAGGGTTACTATCTCGTTTTTGAGCAGCGCATCGACAAGCAACTACATCATTTTGACTGTTCCGCACAGTTTCGCACATCCCAAAATACGGGCTTCTGGGATCTGATTTACTGAAACAATCAGGATGCTCGCTGCGACACTGAGTCTTGATTTTTCCATTTTGCACTATCTTCTTCTTGACACAGCAGTCATCTTCACGGTAATTTTGACGTGGCTCGGCATATCTTCCAAATGGAGAGTTTGGCTTAGGAGAACGTGCCCGAATTGACTGGTGGGCGTCTCTGGTGATCACTTTGTCCACGCTCAATTGTTGGCAAAATGCTCCAATGCACGTCAAAAGGATGAAAACCACAATTCCCTGTTAGGAAAAGTCAATACCAAAACAGAATCACCCGATAATTTCAAATCGGTGCTCTTCGTTACTAAAATAAATATCAATGCATTTTTTCAATTTTCTCACTGCTTATTTTAACGTAGACTTCGCACTGAATTTAACCGCATTTCGCACGTCTTCTCTCTAAAACTGAGTTGACAGGGTAGAGGCTCCTGTTATTGTCTTACTGATAAAGTCCATCATCTTTCCTTCTAGGATAACTTTCCCGTTACTCATTCTTATGTGTAAATATCACCCTAACGATCTAAGCAATAAATGGGAAATCGAATTTTTACAATGACCCAAAAATCTCAGCTTTCGTCGTCCTAAAAAGGCACTCTAGCCATTATTCTTCGCAACGTAAAGTTTAGGTTATTGCTTGAAAATAGCGACGTGATGAGTCGACGGGAAAGCAGTAAAATATCTAAAATTAAAGTCTAGGCCATTAGGTCTACACTAACTTGGCTAAGATTTTAGTTATGTTTGTTATATCCAGTGAAAATATTACATGAAGATTAAATTCATCTGAGAAACAATTTGAAAGAAGTTCAATTTCAAGACAACAACGTGAGTAAATATCTCATTGAACATCCAATACCCTTGTTGGGAAACTGTCGCCATACAATTTGCCAGTGACCAATTATTAAAGCGAATGGGACTTTCAAGTATACATACCTTAATCATTTTAGCTGTAGTGAGGTTTAAGATGGAGTTCAAACCGAGAAAGCCGCAATGCGCCACAAGTAATAGTTGTATTTTTACGTGACATAAGACCGTCAGTGCTCTTATACGCTTGAGCGAATTAAAAGCGAAATTCTTAAAGGCTTACACATTTTCGCGCTAAAACGCGGTGGAAATATTTCGTTTTCAGCCTCGTTTAAGATTGCTACATGTGTTCACATCGTATTCATTTGACAAAAGCGACCGTTCCCAGAGTATTTGAAAAATTGACAAACATCAACGTTACCGATTTCTCCTTACAATGTTTTTGTTAGTGATTTATTTGCCAGGGGAAACGCAGTGTTCTTCGTTGTACTGCGTGAAAACAGGAAGAAATTATTTTCAAGAGCATTTGTATCTACTTATGTAGTTGATGTTATTTGTTGTTTTGGATGACCGCAAATTGTTTCCTTCTTTGTACTTGGTCAGAAATAAACTGAAATCACTGGTCAGTTTCCAAGAATTCACACCTTGTAAATTTTCCTCGTTTTCAGTGTGCAGTAAACTTTCCGCTTCAGAAAAGCTAAGGGCATTCTTAGTATTATTAAAATCAAATATAACAAGACAACGATAAACAACTAGTAACTTTTCTTTAAAAGTATCCTTTTCAGAGTGATAAATTTTATCTCGCTTTACATTAGTCTTTCTTACGCAAAATACGTTCTTGGTCAGAAATAAACTGAAATCAGTGGTCAGTTTCCGAGAATTCACACCTTGTAAATTTTCCGCGTTTTCAGTGTGCAGTAAACTTTCCGCTTTAGAAAAGCTAGGGGCATTCTTAGTATTATTAAAATCAAATATAACAAGACAACGATAAACAACTAGTAACTTTTCTTTAAAGGTATCCTTTTCAGAGTGCAGAATTTTATCTCGTCTAAATTAGTCTTTCTTACGCAAAATACGTTCTTGGTCAGAAATAAACTGAAATCCGTGGTCAGTTTCCAAGAATTCACACCTTGTAATTTTTTCACGTTTTCAGTGTGCAGTAAACTTTCCGCTTTAAAAAAGCTAAGGGCATTCTTAGTATTATTAAAACCAAATATAACAAGACAACGATGACCAACTAGTAACTTTTCTTTAAAGGGATCCTTTTCAGAGTGCAGAATTTTATCTCGTCTAAATTAGTCTTTCTTAAGCAAAATACGTTCTTGGTCAGAAATAAACTGAAATCACTGGTCAGTTTCCAAGAATTCACACCTTGTAATTTTTCCTCGTTTTCAGCATGCAGTAAACTTTCCGCTTCAGAAAAGCTAGGGGAATTCTTAGCATTATTAAAACCAAATATACCATGACAACGATAAACAACTAGTAACTTTTCTTTAAAGGTATCCTTTTCAGAGTGCAGAATTTTATCTCGTCTAAATTAGTCTTTCTTACGCAAAATACGTTCTTGGTCAGAAATAAACTGAAATCACTGGTCTGTTTCCAAGAATTCACACCTTGTAATTTTTCCTCGTTTTCAGTGTGCAGTAAACTTTCCGCTTCAGAAAAGCTAAGGGCATTCTTAGTATTATTAAAACCAAATATACCATGACAACGATAAACAACTAGTAAATTTTCTTTAAAAGTATCCTTTTCAGAGTGCAGAATTTTATCTTTCTTACGCAAAATACGTTTATTAATTGTATCTCTTCCTCATGATTTCAGCGAATTAGCAGTCGTTAATACAGTGAATGTATCTGGTGCAAATATATCTAATTAGCCTATTCATTAAAAGAGGAGAATTGATAAGAAATCCTCTACAATATTACCCCCAATTACGTCGTGTTTTCGCTTGTGCCAGCGTCGGATTACTCGGTGCATCAGCTGTGTGTGCCTTTCTTTGAGTTCAATAGCTCTGTCTCGGACTTAGCAGAGGGTAACACAAATACCCAAGTCTACCTTTTGCAATCATATTTACGCGTGAAACTAAGGCTGTGTAAATACGAGGTAGAGCTTGAATAGTTGACTCATATTTCGTTTTATTATCACTAAATATCTTATAATTTGAACTTTTCAGCAATGAAGATGTTACATGATATAACTATATTTGAAGAGTGAACGGTTCCAAATTCAATGCGATTTATAAAGTGCATCTTCAACTTGCCTCAGTGAAAAGTTTTGTTGCTTTCGTTACAGTACCACGAGAATGAACAATTAACTCCTACCCGCATTAAATATTTCACAAATTTGTTAGTTTTCCAGCAATAAAATCGTATGTTTTCCCTTTCATTTCAATAATTGTGCAAGATGTAAGTCCAGAACATGATATAGGCAGTTACAGTAATAAAGGATCTGTCGGAAGAACAAACAAGATCTCTCTAAATCGGCCTCTGCTAACATATCAACACGCACACAGTTCTTGTTTCCTTTTGTAGTTGAGTAAAGAGAGAGTCCTAAATAGATCAACGCGATACTACAGAAATCTGCTCTGTGTTTATACAGAAAAACAGTCACAATGCCAAATAGGTTTTCGGGCAAGATGGGCATTGTTGCTATTCCAAACACAGGCATTAGCTGAGAAAAGCGCTGTTTTTTTTTAAGGTAAATCAGTTCGGCAACTGTTCAAATGAACAACATCTATGAAAGGGATTTACCCTGCCAGGCAGAGACACTCTTCGTTGAACAGTCCCGAGGTACCTTTGTACCTCATCAGTAAGTGAACTATCAGGTAAGTTGGTTGTAAGTTGGAAAATTTCAAGTCAGTTTTGGCTAAAATTTGAAATGTAGTGTAGAAAACGGAGTTGCCAATTATCGGTCTTAAAAATGTCGGAATGTTAGAGAACCAAATGTGGAGCAACTTTTTTCATTTATTTCAACCTTACCGTCTGATTTTCGAGAGAAATAAAAAATCTTTGCAACAATTTATACGGTACGTTGGAATTGCAGGAAACACCAAATCACTTTAGCAGACCGTTACTTTTGGAAACTCCCTATTCGCATTACCTTCCTTATGCTGAGGTGGTAAACTCTGAAGATGCATTGAATTGTTTATATCTGAGAATTCAAAGATAACTGTTAAACGTTATCCTTTTTCAGGACTTTTTCCTTTTATCGATGAATCACCTGCCGTTGTTGGTTCTTGGTGCCCTCCTCGTGGCCAAAGAAGGCCTGTGCGAGAAAGGAGCCTTCGAACAGATTCTGGAAGTAAATCTTGGAATTAAAAGTAAGTTTAAATTTGAGCTCTACTGAAGGCTATCCTTTTTCATCTAAATTTTTCAGACAGAACTTAAACTTGTGAAGGCAATTCAGATACAATGCAAGGGAAAATATGTAATTTCTAGAGAAAGAGGCGACAATATCCTAAAAAATCTGTCCCAGCATCAACAAATTTCGAGGAATTAGTGCTACACCCGTTCAAGCTGAGTCGCGGTAATTTCCAGACGAATGAGATAACTATGCCACACGAAAACAGGTTATTCAAGCGGATCCCTTGTAATTTAAGGGAATTAAGGTTTTAAAATTATTTACCAGTCGCATTACAAGAAAAAGGTACCATGTGAAATTTTTTAGTCGAAGAGAGGTTCTCAATAAACTCACAAAGTACAAAAATTTCGATATGATAACTTTAAGAAGTTTCATTATCACCGCGGATTACATCTAATTCTGCGCACACTTCAAAATTAACCCTGTGTACGGAATAACTTGTTTCACTTCCTGTTTGAAAATTCATTCTTTTGCAGATAACCCAGAGAGTCAAGGACAGCGCCAATCGGACTCACAGCATCTTTACGAAGGAGACATAAAGCTTTCAGAGGAGCAGCGACTCAACAACGCTTTGTATGGAAACCCAGACGGATCTCCAGGACGCGCTGCAACTAATGTAGATAAGATAAAGTGGCCCAATGGCGTTATTCCTTATGAGTTTGATTGTAGTGTGGGTGAGTGTTTAACACCAAGGGCGGTTAAATGAAACAAATAACTGTTTAAGAGGAAGCAAGAAAGTATCCAGTCTCTTCCTAACGTTGACTGAATAAGAATTTTTGGCCATACTGGCTGACAATATATCCCAGCCAGCTTTTCCCTAATCTGTTTTGCATTTAACGGAAGTATTCTGAATCGACTTTACAAATTGAAAATAGGAAGCTGATGTTTTAACCAATTGAATGCGACATCTGTTTGCAGCTAACATGGATCGAGCGGTACGAACCACAATGGAAGCTATTGCTGAATGGGAGAGCAAAACATGCCTAAGATTCGTTAAGAGGACGACTGAGACAGAGTTTCTTTGGTTCCATCGTGGAAATGGGTATGACGGGTTTTATCAGGTCTTACGAGCCAGTTATCCCCTGATTTTGATGGTATATCTCGGTTTCTGTAGCATGAAACGACTTGGAATATTGCTGCTCCTTCCTTTTAACCTTTTTAACCCCTAAGAGTGATTAGCATCTAATTTCTCCTCACAATACCACCCTTGAATCACTCTTTAAGGTCATAAGAAAAAATGGTGTTTATCACCAACTACAAAAAGCTCGTGATTGTCAGACAGTTTCTCCCTTAAGCACCTTAGGAAATGTGTGAAGAACAGTATGGGGATTATACATGCCAATGTTACGGTATTAAAGTTGAGTGATCATGTAAGTCAAAAGCACTCGCAAATGAAAGGGTCCCTTCTATTTGCTACATGGGTAACTAGGTGATAACACGAGAAGTTGGAGGACAAACATAAGTACCGTAAAATCTCCTCGGCCTCGAATTAAGCCATTTAATCTAAGATCTTTACCGAAACCATTCAAACGTCCCACATTTTTCTACAGTTGTTGGTGTGAGGTTGGAAAAGTGTCTGGTCGAAAAACTTGGCTATCCATTGGAAGCGGCTGTGAATACAAGCACGTGATGACCCACGAGCTTGGACACGCTATAGGTTTTTGGCACGAGCAGAGCAGACCTGATAGGGACAACTACTTGAAGATTAACTGGGAAAACATTCTAGACAGTGAGTTATCGAGCTCGAAAAGGCATTTAAAAGATGAACAAGGGTGGGCGGCAAGATCGATAAAATATTATTTTGCAAAATCTTTCTCGATCTCTAGAATGGTCTGAAAGAAGGCCACAACTTGACCTTACGAGGTAACGGACG